TTTCCTGTTATGGAATTGAATTCAGAGAAATATAAGGTGATTTATGGCTTATTTAATTTATTATTGCCTTATTTAATTTGCCTTGTTTGATTTCATCATAATCAACAGTCTTTAATATTCCACTGCTGGACCTCTCCTTAGAAAGGAGGTTTTGGCTTTCTATACCACGCTGGCACTCTTTACAGTGCTGTTGTCCTGCGTAGTTTGCTCCCTTAGTCGGACCCTCCCTTACTCCCTTACTCCCTCTCTTACGCAACGGAATGAGCAGGGGTGATGAGACTTGTACTAAGGATTTCATTTGATTTAGGGTACATCTGGTTCCCGGCTACTAGTACCTGAGACGACCTGCGGTTTTTAGTCGGTTAGAGTCAGACATGGTTATGTCCACCACCGGTAAACACCCACCGGTTACTGGTAGGTAGTATCCGAGGGATTTTTGCACAGAAAAAAGTGACACACTGTATTGTTAATCTGTCACCATATGGACATTTTATTTGCCTCGTTTTATTAACTACCATTAATTTAAATGTTCTATTATGAAAATTTTACATTAAAGTTATTCTAGAACAAAACATACGCTACAAGTGTGCTAGGAAATAGGTAAAGCATAAGAGTGAAAGAGGCAGCTATTTGAAATAAGTACAGCGACAAAAGGTTTTTTATGATTGTTTTCGAATTTATTAGTATGGTTTACGCTTTTTATGGTCCTAATTAGGACCCTCACGTTTTGTGCGATGGTGGCGTATCTACCTCTTGTATGTACTCAACTTTACAAAACACACTAAAAAAACAGTTTCTTTAATATTGTGAAAGAGGTGAAAATGATTTTGTTTGTTTTATTTTGTTCAACTTGTTCAATTCCTAATAGATTGCTAGGTAATACGGATACGGTTTTTATTGGGCGTCTAACTCAAATTTGATGATAGTGTATTGATGAAACATCTACCTTGTGTAGTTCTTGTCACCAGAGATCCTTGAGCAGAATGGTAGAGTTAACACTCGTCGACTGCACGGATGGCGTAGTGGTTTAAGCGGTCGCCACGCCGCTACCTATTGAGCTATCCGAGTGTTGTGGGTTCAAACCCCTTATGGGACGACACTTTGTGTGATCCACAAATTGTTGTTCTGAGTCTGGATGTTCTTTGTGTCCGTTTTATGTATGTTTTTAAATTCCCCCGCGACACAGGAAAGTATTACTAATGCGGGAGTTGTCTTTAAAAAAAAAAAAAACAGAACACAAGTAACAATATGACTAAGCACGTATTTAAATAATGAATAACCACTGTGAATATCTTAATAGTAAAAAAAAAACTACGATGGATTCATGCCCGGAGCCACCTCTACTGATATCATTGTCTTAATGCCAATTCTACCAACATTTTTCCACACTATTCATTTTCACCGTACATAGAAATGCTCTAAACATCATTTCTCACAATACAAATACACAGGTATGTAATGATTCACTTAAATATCTAGAGAAAAATCAAACTATTTCTTAGAATATTATCGCTGATACAGATTACGTTACAACTTAAGGAACTGTCTGTACGATAGGTGGTACTCGAATGTAAACAAAGCTTTTAGGTTTGCATTTTTATGTAAACCTTATCTGAGATTATGATAAAGACCTTGGAGACCAGTATTTGTCAAAAAAATCTAAACAGCAAGAGATTTTAAGCCTTATTACCCCTGCAAAAAGGTTTAAAGAAACTGTTTATGTAAGTGGTAAAAGCATTTATCTGTTTTTAAAGATATTGACACGGTAATGGATCGTGGTGTTTAGAAAAAACGTGTTTTGAGGATTTGTACATTTTTTAAATGAATTCGAATTTCACACAGATGTCGGCTAATTTTTTTTAAAATATAATCTGTATTCTTTAATGTCATTATCTTCAGGCGGCAACTGCTGAATTCAGACAAAGTTATCACTACATAGAGTTTAGTGATGACGACGTTTGAGGCGCCTTATTCAAGGCACAGATAATTTCAACTTAATATTTACTAAGTTCTTATGCGCACAAAATATATGATATCTTTTTAAATTCGTTGTTAATAAATGATTAATGTATCAATAGACGTTGAGAGAGGACATAAAATTGTTAGAATTTTTCATTTTTATGTCAGTATGCTGCAGTTTCATCCGTAATAATGGATTTTTTATGCTCCAATTTTATAACATGCCTATTAAAACTAGCTAGCGAACTCAAAAAGGATTTTATAAAATTTGTGTTTTTTTCGTTCTCTGTGAAATCACAGAGATATGAAGTTATCGGAGGCTCACTCAAACCCGTCTTAATTCTGGGGGGCAACGCTCTTGTGACTCTTCAGCTAAAGGTTGAAGGCAACGGTTCTCACTTACCATCGGGAGACCCATTTGCTCGTTTACTCGCCGTTTATGGTAGAGAACGATAAAAAACACAATAATCCACATAAATCTAAATAGGAAAAAAACTCGACAAAGCTTCTCCTTTTAAAGTTCATCTAATTTAATTATACAGTCGTCCAAGGGTCATTTTGGAATAAAAATGTGAGATATCCATATTTGAATAGATCTTTAATAGAATATCTGCGTCACAATGAGATATATGCATCGTGGTCCTTTTAGTCGTATTAAAGGATAATTTACTTTATATTGTCAGTGTAGTTGTCAAAAAGTGGACATACCCTAAGATTTTTTATTTTACATTATTGTGTTAAACTTAACGTCTGCACTTGAGGAAAACTACTTTCTAGTACTTTGAATGTGATTTACATTCAGTATGATCAAATACTTTGAAAAATAGCCTTCGGTATTTTACGTTTAGATAAATAATTTAATCAAAATTTTAACGATGAAAGCTAACGTAGAATAAAACTAAATGGTGTAGAGGACTGTTGGAATCAGTACTGAGTGAGTCTAACCTAGTCTAAAAGTTCATTCTAAATTTATTTACACACTTTACCATACCTTTAGTAGCTTTTAAAGATTATAAACTTTTAGCTTTCGACTTTCATTAGTGCTTTTTAACTTCTAAATTAGTATTTTCCTAAGGTTTGCTTAGTAAAATAGGTTCGCAGTTTATTTACCCGCCATCTTTTTATGTAAAATTAGTTACCGTAGTTGATAGGAACATCCATATTAATCCTTCATTAATAAAAGTAAGAATAGCGATCAATTGAGTGGGATTTGGCTTCATCTGACCGGCTGAGCTTCGTTACCGGCTGTAACACAGCATGTTTCATATTTGTACAGAATTTTTATTAATAATATTTATTGAAAAATATTAAGAATTATCACCATATTTCTTATTTAGACATTACTATGTAGCGCATTCTCACACGTCAGTAAGCTTTCTTTGATAAAATGCCTTTTCATGTGTAAATAGCACAAATAATTAGATATAGATTAGATAATTAATTAGATGCTACATCATATAAATCTACAAGAGTCTTTTAGGCGTCTTACCCTTTGCTGTGGGTACATAGCTTAAATTAACTATAGGTTCTTTGATTTAAGTATAGCTATAATTTACGGCTTCTGATTGGATAACGTTATAAATTATCTTAATAAATAAAAGAAATAAACGTTTGTATAACTGTATTTACTTATTTTGTTTTACTACTGACTGTGCTACAAAGCTAAGTAAATTTTGACAGCCGAATAATAAAAAAGCAAGTTAAAGGTTTACGATTATGCGATGTGTTTATTTTGGAGATCAAATATTTGTAATGCTTAACATTTTTAATTTTGAAAACCCTTATCCGTTTCTAACTAATCTTAAATTAGTAATGAAAATTTATGACGGATTTTTTGATTGAGTTAGTGACTTGACAGAGTTGATGGATTCGATTCCTACCTAGGACAAATCATTGTAACCTGAGCCTGATTACCTGAGGCTCACACTCCACCACACAGCTCCACCTAACCTGGGATATTAGAATCCTGTGTGTCAGGTATCCCAACTCATCCATATTATTATGTATCTATCTATAAAAATTGCATGTAGTCTATTTTTTTCGTCATCCTGTATAACACAAAATGTAGGACAAACCTCGCATTGACCAGTAAGTAAGATTAATAGATTCATTGAGACAGGTCGGGACTGCACTTATTTCTGGGACTGTCCTTAATAGGACGCAGTTCTTGGAGACCCTTCCTTGTGCCCATAGCTTATGGTAAAATGAAAGTTATAATTTACTGCCTTAGATTAATATTGAGTCTGCGCAATTGTGGTTGCGACGGCAGAGGTCATATTCTGAACTGCAAATAAAATCTTATCTCTTTGTTATTACTATTTTGTTTTCTATGAGGTGATACCTCCCTGTCATGAGGTTCGACCCATTGACCCATCAACAAGACTATGCAGGCAAGCTTCCTTTTACCATTTTATCTCGCCAATGGCAAGGGCCATATTGGTTATTTTTGCTCTCATTTTCCTTTTCTTATGTTCTGATCCATATCTTGGAAAGAAACTAAAAGTAAATATTGGAGAAAGGTATAGAGATATATTTTAAAATTCAGGTTTTCTGTAATCCATAACGACATTTTCGTAGTTGTAACGTTTCTATCTTTTGGAGTTTCACTGATTATATAATTTTTGATTTGCTTTGATCTAAGCTAATGTTTTATTTATTTTGGTACGAGTATATAACTGTGTATTCTGTTAATTATTTAGAGGTATTCTTGTATTATTAGCCACCTAAGTAAGATTTTACGTTCATATTTTTTAATTGATTTAACAAACACGTCACGGACACGTTACAAAATATTAAATTGAAATATCATTAAATTGACTGCACGGATGGAGTAGTGGTTTCAGTGGTCGCCACGCCGCTTACTACTACGCTGAGTGTTGTGGGTCCGATCCCTACATGGGACGACACTTTGTGTGATCATCAAATTGTTGTTCTGAGTCTGGGTGTTTTGTGTCCGTTTCATGTCTGTTTGTAAAGTCCCCCGCTACACTGGATATATTCCTAATGCCGGAGTCATTAACAAAAAAAAAACCAACCCTTACCTTCGTACATTTGCGCGTACTGAGGGAATCCAGCAGCTCTCAGCCATTTGCAAGCCTCCGCCGCTTCGATCTCTGAAACAAAGAAGGACACAGTCAGATCTTATCTTATCTTTTTTCTATGTTAACGGAGTCAAGGATATAAACAAAAAAATGGCGCCGAAACATAAAGTCTTGAGCACCACCCACGTTCAAAGCCACTCAAGAAGAAAAATAATCTCATTTGCTGACCCCAGACGGTAAAGGAGAAATATTATTAGTCTGTCTGTTTGTATGTGGCTTTGTAACTGTGAAACGGATGGAAACATTCTAGTAAGGTTTGTATGTGAAGCTGTTTTAATCAGAAATATTTTGCTGTGATTGATGAAAAGATGTTCAGCTTAAGTAATGTATTTGTATGTAAAATAAAATGTTGATAAGCATAGGGATGTCAGGTAAAAATTATGCAGAAGCAGAAACCAAAGCTCAAAAAAGGTTTTCAATTTGTAACTCAAGTGTAGCCTATTGACTGACAAGTGGATTCTTGTCTACATGATGTCGCCACATGACAAACCCTTATTTATCTTATTAAGAAAAGGATACTAGAACAGTTTACTATTGTTAAATAAAAATAAGTGAATAAACATTTTTATGACTAGTTGTACTGGTGGCGCCAATGCAATATTCAATACAGTTAATGTTCGCCTAAAGGTCAGATCTTGGTCCTCAGTCTAAATTGCATGATATTATCCCCCACGCATAAATTTACCTATAGAAATCTATAGAAATAATAATCTTTAGAATTAGGTCACTACTGTTTAAGTACCATCTTTATCAGCCTATCGCAGTCCACTGCTGGACATAGGCCTTTCCTATTGCACGCCACTTTGATCGATTTTTAGTTTCTCGCATCCAGCTCATGCCAGCTCTTGCGCAAATCGTCACTCCATCTGGCATGTGTGGGGGTCCTACACTGCGTTTGCCAAGACGCGGTCTCCATTTAAGAACTCGTTTACCCCATCGGTTATCGGTTCTGCCGCTAATATGGCCAGTCCACTGCCACTTCAGCTTGCTGATCTGGTGGACTATGTCGATGACCTTGGTTTTCTGACGGATCACCTCTTTCCATAGCATGAACGACTTTGAGCTTGTGATGATGATGATGATGTTTAGGTATAATCTATTTCACACATTACGTACACTCACGCATTTTATCCTTGAAGGAGTAGACAGAAGCGTGTTAAACGCTTACAATTTCAGTCCCATTTACAAATGTAATAAAAGGCCAGCCTATTGTCGTCAATCGTTTACATATATTTCTAAATAAACATACTTATATATTTCTTTAAACATAAGTATTTTAGATAAATTACGCCCATATATTGAATAATTAATCGTGCTCATTACAAATATATATTTTCTAAGGTGGCAATCGAACAAACGGCTTAGCATTCAAGATCCCTAAACACTGCACCAAATGGACCGGACCGGACCAACAAAATTTCAGTATCAGATGCTGATAATAATTTTATTTTCACTTCAAGCTAATAACATAAACCCGTTCTTTCCTGAACTTTAAGTTATGACATTACCGCATTCTCAGTTTTATATCCCCATAAAATAAATTAAATCTCTTTCAAACATCACTTATTATTCAAATTGTCGTAATAAATTACGAACAAAAATAAATAGACCACTGTTTATTGCAAGATACCTATTTTGCCCTTTTAGGCCCACGCGTGGGTGGCTCAGCTATTTCCTATTGTTTTGCCATAAAAAGCAAAGTTATAAACACAATTCTTTGACAATAAAACATGGAATGACTTTCGCTTTAATGTTTTCTTACGGAAGTTTGGTAATTATGGAAAAAAGTTAGATTGAGGAGATAATGCTAGAAGACAATCATGGGAAGTCCACTGCTGGATATATTATCATAAGCGTGCATTAAATTTTCGTTTTGATGATGACGGCGATGAGGAAAAGGTAAGTTACTAAGTGAAAAAAACTTAGTGATGAAGTATTTTATTTTTTAATTAGGTATTTCTGAATATAAGGACTAGCAGAACATATAACACTAGTTTATTTGAACAATCTGAATGTCGAATATAAAGACATTGGCTATACAAATATATATATATATATATATATATTTGTATAGCCAATGTCTATATATATATATATATAGGTATATACGAGTATAAGAAAATGTAGTGCAAAAAGACCAATCTGTCTTCAAAATTAGTTAGGGTTTGTCGAAACTAGTAAGTGATCAGGAGGCTTTAGAATTCTTAACGATTTATATCAGGTACATTATAACATCCTCATCAACATTTCTCTGGCTTTTGACTGAGCTCTGACCTGGTTTTGTCTGTTTGTTTTCCTCAGGAATTTTGTCGTAGACGGGACAAGGAGAGAAGGCCAATAGGGGTAATAAAAATAGACTGGACGAGAGAGTAAGGGCTGGCGTGAATCTCGGTTAAGGAATGGGTCAGAGACTGCAGTCGTCCAAAAAGGCTCTCGCCATCATGTGAAAGGAGTCACTATTAGGATAGGGACAGCTACTGATAATCTGATATGATTACATACATAATCTAATTTAATCTTGCTGGTTTGAACCATATTCCATTTTTTAATTATTAAAAAACAAAGTTTTACAATAAAAATTTAAAAAAAAATTACTCCGTCAACTCAAAAGAATAAACATTAATATAGGTATGTACCTACAGTAGCTAACTTTATCCCAATCACTGTACCATTACAACTGGTTAAGATACCATACAAAAAATTAAACAAACAAAGGCATGAATTAGGACTTTCTCCTAATAAATATTAATGCCTAAAGCCAGAACTGTAAGATCCCTTAAGTAGGACAATCGTTCTTAAATCGTCCAACAGTATTCTACTTGCCAAGTATCAAGTTAAGATGGTCTGATAATATGCACTTACACGTCGAAACCAAATATCAAGACACCACCATCCATTACAATTGCGGCAAGATTTCATTCTGTCGTTCTGGATGTCAAGGGTCAAGGTATAATGGTGATGTGGTCTCTGTCTTAAGTCCAAGGGCCAATCAGTAGTATTGTGTCCGTGACGGTTACAAATGCCTAAATAATGGAAACGAAAGCGGGTTACACGATGTAAGACGTGAGAATGGGATTGGATGCGGTGTTTGAGCACAGTAATAGAATCGTTAACATGACATTTCTTTTGAGTGTTCGAAGTCTAATTTTATGTGGTTACGCTTCAAGAATATATTATTTTTTAGAAAATGAGGTTCATTATCTACAGTGTAATATAAAGTACGTGAATTGACGTGCTTTACGAAGGATCATAAAACAAAGCCTTCACTCTCTGATACTCTTTTAGTAGCAGCAGATAAAACTAATATAGTTATATTTTTCATTTAATTCTTTTTTTAAATTTACTACCTTCTGACTCTTGAGTTGCAGAAGTTCATGGGCGGCTTTAGTCACTTTCTATTAGGTGACCCTGCTTGTTTGCCCCCTCCTCCATAAAAAATAACTATTTTTGAGAGCGATGATATGAGTTTTTCAATCCGCAGAATTAATATGCCATTTCTAACATTTGCGCATATTTTAAAACGTGAGGTTAACTAAAACATTCTTTACATAAAGGCCCTGTCAAGTCACTAATATTTCATTGCAGGTAATGTATCCGTACTTTATTTTACATTGCTTATCAGAACTCGATATGTTAAAATAAGATGTTTTAGATAATTGCTGCGATAAGTTACGTTTCATAGGAAATATAAAAATACAAAACAGTACAAGATAACATATTAATAATAAATTTGATTTTTTTTAAACCATATTAACTGCCACATCCAAACCCTTACCACGATATTCTCTTATAGAACGATAGTGGCAAAGTGCAATTCAATTTTTCATAGGTACTTTAAAACATATGATTTGTATAAGCTATCGGTGTACCGGCCACCGGCGGTGCATTGACAACGAGACGTATGAATAATGTGACTATACATCTGTGTCACAACGGGACGTCTGCTAATTCTTACGCAATAAGACTCGATAATTGAATTTAGTATTATGTGGAAGTGCAAACTTTAAGATGGTTTTTGTACACGAACATAACTTGTTACTTAATTAATAGAGCTATTATTAGATACCTTAGGATTTCAAGCAAGACTTAGCCATCGAAAATTATAACAAGCATTAAAGATGTAAAACGTGGTATATTACAAAGCAAAAATAATAAATTTATTCCATTAGATTCCTGAAGGTTGTGGAGTCATTACTGATATATGTGAAGTATTTGTACAATGCATCTATTTATTTACGAATACTCATAACCAAGCTACTTCTTTAGTAGTACAATTATTTTGTCTAGTTTTACTTATTTACTCTAAATATCATCATCATATCGACAGCCTTTTATAGTCCGCTGTTGGACATAGGCATCTCCTTAGAAAGGTGGTTTTGGCATACTATATCACGCTGACCAGACGGGTTGGTATAGGATTTGTGTCAAGTTTTGATTCTCTTTGCAGTGCTGTAAGTTGTCCTGCGTAATTTGCTGCCTTACTCGGCTCTTACTAGATCCACCAATTCCACCACCCAGAAATTTTACAAAAGCAATCTCACTAACTCAATTTCAGTGGGATTTTTATTTATCAGTTTAATCATTATGTTAAGGCTGAATACCTATTCAGCCTTAACATAATGATTATTATATATATTATATACATTGAGCCTTAAATTTAAAAATATCGCTCACTTAGAAAAGCTTTGCCGTACTAACTAACTAACGAAAAATACATCCAAGCGCAATATCAACATAAATTTTATTCAACGTGGGTATGTAGCCTATACCTATGTAGCCTATATTAGTTGAGTACAACAACAACAATTTTTATTAGGGTTTGCATAAAACTGAGCTTATATAGGTTTGATGAATCAGCAGCTGATGCTCAGCTACTTCTGTTAAACACCCATTTGAAAATAGACCTAGGTAGATCCATGATTGGCCATGATTAATGTAGGTCATCATCCCTACGATAGTCGATAATGACGGTTCGAACCGTCCCACACAACGCGTAACTTATGGCTACATGAGGACGGACCGTTTACTTCCCGATAATAAGGGATCGGGCACACCTTTTGGTTTAAGTAATTTGTTACGTGATGATTCGAAACGGTAGATGTTATTATGATGATATTGTTTCACGAATGAAAAATGATGTGATGGCTTGTAATAATATATTACAGGTGAGATATTGAAGACAATTATAGTTTGATTATATATTTGTGTGTTTATCGAAAGTGAATTATTAAAACTTTTGTAAATAAATTATAAGTTTAACTCGATGCTGACATGTACTCAGCCTTTGAGAGTTATTGTTTGATTGCTATGTATGTGGATGTACAGAAATTTGTTTCGTAAAAAGTATTCTATTTTAAACTTGGCAAAGTAGATATACTCTCTGTACTAAAATAATCACCCCTTTTCTTAACATTATGGCCATATTTTAATACATACAGAAAATCGTAACCTAATATAAGCTCACGTGTAAATTTAAAAAATAGAACATAATATTTTTGTGTCAGACAACTTGTTTTGTAGTTTCAATGATTTTACTACTCCGAATATTTTAACACTCTTCAGGGTACTGAAGAGTGTTGAAATAATTAGTTTTTATTTTTTCTACAATAATTATGCTGAAAGACTGTTTTTTTAGGAGTGCTAACTCGTAAACTGATCAATTACAGACATAATTGTATTTTACCCAAAAACACATGTCTGTTTTTATTCAGAACTAGAAAATTGAACTTTTACGAGGTATGATTTTGCTTTTTCGTTGTTTCTTGTTAATGTATACAAAGAATTAATTCCGAGACACACTTGAATGATCGGAATTTTTCTTTATAATCTATTGCTACGGCATTGAGCTGGCATTTCTTATGAATAAACACCATCGATAAACATTTAATGTTAAATAAATATAGCCTTTTTCCTGTTAATCTACGAGTATTTCCTTGTTACCTTTGATAGTCAAAGCACTTAGCCTAAGGAATATTACTATGAGATACTAGCTGTTGTAACAAATAACTGAGAGATTAGAATATCAGGTATAAACCGACAAAGTCATTACACTCTTAATACCCACACTTACATTATAAGTGTGAAAGTGAATTTGCCTGTTTGTTACGCTTCCACGTTTAAACCACTACACAGATTTAAAAATTCTTTCACCAATAGAAAGCTAAATTATCAGCGAGTAACACAGGCTACTTTATACCGCGATAACCGACTCACACGCGGGCGGAGTCGCGGGCAAAGGATAGCATTTATATAATTTTATACCCCGCCTAGTTGACCAGGAAAACGTTGTTCCATAATATTCGCGATTAAATTAAGTATTTTTCACCCTTCTACTAGGAAATTATCTAAATTGCGATCTAAAAATTAAAACAGGGCTGTTGACTTATTCTGTGACCAAAATAAATTAATATACAACAAAAGAAGCCGAGATTTTGGGCGGTTTATATCAAAACAAATTCAATGTTGAAAGAAAAAGCAAGGAGTACTCGTACATTGATTGTATTGAACATTTCCCGCGTAAACAATATCGAGTCTGTTCTTGGAAAACCAAATGTGCGAGTGTATGTACAATAACTAGAAATCAACGAATCTTTAAAAGTTAATAATAGATTATGCTCCAGTAGCATAGAAGTGTCGGCAGAATGTAGCCAAGAAGATATCAAACCAAGTACAATACAATTTTCTTTCTTGGCATTAGGTAATAATCAAAAATACTATTATGATTAACACTTAATGATTTTAGTAACTTCATTCTTATTACAGGAAGGAAAATCATATCACACAAGAAAATCAGCAAAATAAAATAAGCCTTTACAGTAGCTCTAACTGTTTCAAAGTGTTGTTCATGCTAAATCAAAGTTAAAACAGCATGGATCATAATCCGTGAGACAAATAGTCACAAATAAAGCAACTATTTTTTCAATTGTGAGTGGCGACAACGTAATCTTTTAGAGTTATAATGTTTCTGTTAGTATGATATGTATGTATTTATTGTAAATGCAATTATGATACAAACATTAAAACAATTTGAAACGCAAATATGACATATGAAGAAAAAATTGTATCTAGTATGGAAAAAATAAGGAAATCTTTCCCAAGTAGGTACTTTTTAACTTATTTGATGCTCACAGCAGTAAACACATAGTAAGTATTTAGATAAGGTGCAGCGATAACGCACTAATTACTAGTAAAATAGTAGCAGCCATTGCAACCGTCCGTGTGTTCTGTTCATACGAGTCATTTCAGTAAATATCCTCGTTACGACCCGGTAATTACCTAAGACAGTTGGAAGTCGATAACAAGCACCATTTTTTAGAACTACATACAACCTGATGTTGTCTATAACATGTATGTATTTAGAAATATATAAGTGTGTTTATTTAAACATGCCCGGTTGATAGCAATAGGCCTTCTATTATGTGAGTAGGACTAAAATTATGGTTAGCCAAATATGGGCTATATGCCTCTGTCTATACCTTTGGAAATAAAAAAGTGAGTGTGTGTCCGCATCGTATCCTCACGTCTGCAAACAATGTTTTTTAAATATAGTCTTAATGTTTTTGACTATTGACCGACCTGTTCTAAGGCTGTACTGTGGTCAAAATTGGTGTATCACAAGGCTAACCTAGGGCCTTACTTGATTTTTTTTACAAATTTTAGATTTATTACTGTTAGTTTAAATTATTTGTGAAAATAATATTACTTTGGAAGAAAAGCATTGCTATAAACTTAATGAGTTTTAATAATCCGTAGTAGTTTCTAAATCTAATCTGTCTCTGTTACCTCTCGTAACAGTAAATTTTTAGCTGTTTATTTGAGCAGAAATTTACCGAGATAGAAATAAACCTGGAATTTATAGTAAAGTATAAATAGGTAGACTATGAAAATAAGCATTTAGAAATGATTTAAAGAAATTACTATCATGGCCCTTAATCTTCACGCATTGCATAAAGGTTTAGTTCTGCATACGAGTATATACAATACATGTACTACGCTTCAAAAGCAACATACTCATAAAACCGCAATAAAATATAACTAGGTAAATCTTAAACATAAAACAGTAATAACAATTTGAAGGCCACTTGTTATCGCTTAGGTAGATGTTATAAACCAGTTATTACAATAGACAAAACAGAAATACCTGTGATTTGATCAACACTCAAATTTGGAACACTCATTATTATCACAACACTAGCACTTCACTGGAGCAATATTCACTGTGACCTGTAGACTCCTGCACATCATTACTAACACTGATTCACTCAACTTTCATACGAAATTCGGTCTATTAACTGCTATTTGTAACGTATTAACACCGTAACTGAGGCAACATTTACCAAAGAGCAACCGAGCGACCAATTTTATTGACGATAACTTGTATCGTTAAAAGTTAAACGTATATAAATTTCATTCAAACCTCCTAACGGTACTATAATAAGATGTTGACTGTAATCGATGTGTCATTTATAAAGACTGACCGCATCACTAGATTGTCACTCATTTGCGCCAACACGGTTTCTTTACTTAAAAAAAAAGAATTTAATTCATTTACAGTAAATCAAAACGTATTATAAATTTAAATCATATTAAAATTTTATACAAAGACGAGATTTTGAAATTGGAATCAGTTTTTAAATATTAAAAAACAAATAAATGTTGCCGTTTAAAAAACTTCCACTTCAAGTGTAGTGTAAACGGATGTAAGAAACAAACGAGTGTGACCGTCAGTTGACTAAGAATGAGATTAGTTATCAGTTTTTTATCGCAAACAGTCGTAACTTGCGTCCTTTAATCGCTGGTCGCGTCACTGATGGTACTTGCCGTAATATGTAGTATATAAATAACATGGATATGGTAACTTGTAAGGAAATCTAGCGAAATATGCTGTCAAATAACAACTTTGTTTATAAGCAATTATCGTTATAGGAATTCGATGTGTCATGTTTACTTGTACTGTTATGAAGAAGAAAAATAACATAGACACGCGAAAATCTATGATGAAATCGTTGTTATTTTATATACACAATATTCATTGATGAAATATTTAAAAGATTATTTATGTAATTCGGCCAGGCCAAAACCTCCTTTCTAAGGAGATGTCTACGTCTAGCAGACAGATGTATTCGGCTGTCTAAAGCTTATAAAATCATTTATATATTATTATTTTATTTATGAATTGTAGTTTTAGTTTAAGTAGCACAGGACTTAACATCAATTTTGCAAATTGTTTCTCTTTTAATTTGACGTAATTATTTTATTATCTATTGGAAATATATTTTGAAAAAATATGGTAAATGAATGCTTTTGATTGCTTTTTTTATAAAATATAAAACAAAGATTAATCTCTATTTGATAAATTTGACAATATAGCTATAGCTTGATTTCTGCTAGATTTGCAGTTGTCTGAATGAGAAATCTTCAAAATACAAAAAAAAATATAATTATAAATAATAGTAATAGATTATCATGTTTCCCTCTTTATACCGCTACTAAGTCGTCGTACTAGTCGTAAATAAACTACACAAAAAGGGCAGTAAAGTTGTATGATATTCTTATACATTTAGTTATGTAAGTAGTTACCTACGTCGTAAACAAACATTATGCGTACTTATGACGATATTCAATGTAAGTATTATATTATCCATAAATGCTTTTCAATTCTAACATAACTCATGTCATCTTTTATTTGTATGAAGTTGTACTTGAACTGTCGTAGCTGTATTGTGAAATACTAACCGTTATTTACAGTTTCACCAGTGTTTATAGTCACTGATCTACTCCTTAAGGTTTCCTCTCTTCCCTTACTAAATATACTCATACTCAGTAAAGTAGATCTAATGTCTATCTGGATTCATCATCAGGCTATTGATACCGAGCCCAATCTGTTAGACTAATCAAACAAATCATGTTATCACTAACTCTAGTATTTGTTAAAAAAACGGCTCTACTATCTGCCTCATGGCACCTCTAAATCAACGGCAAACTTCTAAGTTATAATAATATCGAAATAATTTACTATACATAATACATATTTAAATGTTTAAGCATTCTAAATTTAGCAGTAGGTTAAAATTGATTTGTTTATTTAGTTTTTAAAGTTAGTAACAAATTTAAGAAAACAGAAAATATTTCTTTTCACGATCATAAGACTATATTTTTAACATTTTGCTAACGATATTGTCTTAATCATTATACGACAATGTCAATTCCACAATTTGTAATTGTCAAATTTCAAGTTTCGAACGTCAATGTGACAGGTTCAATTAAAGAACGAACAAAAATGTTCAAAAGTCTGTCATCTTATATTATCTATGTTTTGTAATAACTACTAATGTTGTGGCGTAATGAACACAAATAGAAAACAAATGGGTTGACAACGTGACGTGAGGAGTGCTTAGGTTGATGACCTGTAGGTAATGTCAATAATAAAAATATTAAATAAATCCTCCCGCACTAGGAATATATCCTATGTCGCGGGGGACTTCACAAACATACATGAAACGGACACAATTGGACTTAGCATACGAGCTTGTCCATATATGGAATGTGGATTTCGCAATCGTTGTATCAATGGTCATTTCGGCTCATGGATTAATTACCAAGAATCTCTCACAATACCTTAAGAGGGTCACGTTAGGTAGCTAGATTAAGAGTCTGATAAGAACAGCAGGTATTGTGAGAAAGTTTCTCTTTCAGGAACCAAGCATTGTACACTTGGTCTCTTAGTACCCGATATCGGTTGAACTCATTTTTTATGGTTTAATTGTTTGTAAATTATATAAGTATTTAAATGAGTAAAAGGATGCCGGCTGTAGGTACGAGAGAAAATAAAAAGTCAATTTAAGGGTAGGGATTTCAAATATTCAGTATGAAAAACAATGATGAAATTTACATATAGCGTAAGAATATACAATAGTATCCTAACCCATCATCTCTTATGAAACATTTTACGTCAGACAAGGGTTTAGGTAGGATACTCAGGGAAAGCCAGTTGCTTCTCCCTCCTATCAGCTTTGAGGCCCGGTCACACTTTCAGTGTGATCAGGCTGCCATCTTATTCCATACCGCAGCAGTTAATCTGCCACTAGAGGTCCCCACTCTCCAGCGGCCCGGCCGGGGATCGGCCCTCTCCCGATCCCGTTCAGCGGTCTCTTTCTGGAGCATTACAGCTTCACAGAAAGAGACCGATTGTTTACCTAACATGACACATTGATAGTCTTAGGAAGAAGTAATTATAACTGCCAATATTTTATTTCAAGAAATTAGGAAAATAAATTACTCGTGAAACAGTAATAACTGTGAAATATTGAGATTTAAAAGTTGTTTGATAGTAAAGGTACTTTAATTATCCCGGTCTTTTATCTCCCAACTAATTTTAAACAATAATAAAACCATTTTGTAGAGCACTAAAGTACTCGTCCAATTTTTGATAGACGAAAACAGCTGGATTTGCTGTCGACAAAATTACCAAATGTCGTTCGTTCTGAAAGCTGATCTCTTAAAAGCAAGAAAAAGTCTTTGATAAGGTGACCTGCCTGCTCGTTTACGGAGCATAAACAGGTAAAAAAAGAGACGCCATATTTCATGGTGTTTTTGTCATGTAATATAATTAATATATATATATAACATGTGGGTTATAAATGTATGACAATAATGACAAAAAAGTGCTCGGACCGTTGACTGTCTGGCAAAAATAAATTTTAAAATTGAATCCATCCTTTAGGAGTTATATACCAAATATAGAAGAGGATGTACACAAATACATCTATATATGACAGCTATAAACAAAGTCGCACACATCTACAAGTAGACACTGTAATCTGTTTTTCCTTTATGCGCCAATCTGACCTTCTAATCTTGATACAGTCTTTTGCAGTGCACTATTAGTAAATTATTGCAAAATTTCCGAAGCAGTAATTAAATATTGATGCTAAATTTTAATGCTAGACTCTTCGGCACTCACATATACGAGTATGAGTGTCATTTTAGTTTAATATTGATTTTACGCAGTCTTAACATCCGCAGTTACTGCACTGCGGTGACCATACTTCTTCTCAAAAGTTTGTAATCTATTCCTACTGGCTTTTAGGACTGGCCGTTAATTCTTTTCTTTTTTTTTCCGAGCAGATGAAAATGATCGTACTGAATACAAAATCCTTAATACCTTATACATACAGAGGGCTAAGGTGCAGGCGGGTCACCTTACGGACGCACATGGACATCTGCAACTCAAGAGTCAGAAGTTCTATGCCGCATTTTGAGTCCTCCACCCAGAAGCAGGGCGAGTAAAGCTATGACTCCGATAACTTCCCTCCCTAAAAGTATCGCAAGACTTGCTTAACATCAGTTTTCTGTAAGCCCTGGTATCACTCCTGTCGAGTTAGGTCTTCCCACGTATTCAAACTATTTGCTTTTGCACAGATTTCCCATCTTCATCATCATCTTTATTTTTCTGTATATGTTACAGCTTTCTTTCTCTGTTTAGCTCTTTATCTCCAGTCCTAATTGAGAAACATGGTTCATTTTGGTTAAGAAGTGCTCGTTTCAACGAGTTCTTTTTTTGGGCTTTTACTTATTTTAATTGGCTGAGTTCGTAAGAAGCGGCGGTTATCACCTACTGTCGGGTTGCTTGTTTGGCCACATATACCATAGAAGAAGCTGAAGGAGGAGCAGGACGAGCATAATAGACGTAATTTTTTACATGAACATACAAAAGTATAAGTGAATAACGTATTACAGTTAAGGTTGTTCTTTTACATGAGGTTTTTAAAGTTATTAGTCAGTACAGGTTTGAGTAAAATATAAACTGCAGCATGCTTCAATATACCAAAAACATATTACCACGAGTCAAAATAAACAATTCAGATTCATACAAAATCAAAATAATAAGGAAAAATTACCAAACATTTCATCATAAAGACGAATTCACTTTACGTTTCGTGAACAAGTAAGAATGCACCTTATCGATAGATAAGATAGGTACTCGACAAATCACATACATTATATAATATGGAAATACATACCATATAACATATTAAGTAAACAAAAAAAATTAAAAACATTCGCAACATCGAGATTAAGCTTCCCTTCCACGCAACTTATCAAACTTCAATAAAAAAGTTTGTTCCAGCGAAAATTTTTAGAGGGAATTTTTATATACGAAAGAAAAATAATATAA